TCTGTGGGGGGTGGGAATGGAATTGGAGAGTTTATTAAAAGCAGCTTGGTATGAGCTGTTCCATTCTGAAAAGAATGTTAACAAGTTCAATTTCCATTAAATCTTTCCGCGGAGCTCTTGGAAATGTTCCATAACAGAAAAAGGAGTAAAATCATCTATATGGTAATTATGAGGATGAATCTTACAAGTTTGGCCAGTGTGAAAAGGTCAGCTCTATTATGAATAGTTTATCAGCCCCCCGCACATATTCACAGCTGCACTGGAACCTTAACCAACATGCTGCTTTATTTTTCAACCATTAATGGGCACCTGCATAACTGGCTCCTCGAAAAAAAAAATAAGTAAATGGAATTTTGAATGCTTGCAGAGACCATGGTAGCGTGAAGATAAATTGTTTTCTACTCCTATTTCTCCTCCACCTACTCACTCTTCTCTCTCACTCCATCTACAAAACACACACACATTCTCTCGTTTCATGCAGCTCATATACTGTTCATGCTCAATGCACCCTGTACGAATTGTCCCCTTTGAAAAAAAGGTCCAAAAACATTGTTCCGATGCATTAAAAAAGACTAGTATACAACCTACCTCTCTCCTCACTCTCATCTCTTTTCCTTACCTCCTCCCTCCCTCCACCTCTCCCGTTGCACTATGGGTATTTAAAACTTGTTCAACATGATTTCATTTCATTTCAAGTACTGGCTGAGAAAACTAAATTACAGAATCAATCACACAGAAGGTCAGGCTGAGACTTCATTACAAGTATTGCATGCCTGCATGGATATCTTTCATTTCTTACTGGCCCAATATGTCTGTCTCACACAAAAAAAAGAAGAAAAAGAAAAACATGAAGGTGAAGGGGGAGAAAAAAAATCCACTTTCAGAGATTGATGTACAACTGATGTCACAACTACTCAGCTTGGAGATAAGATAACAGAAACGTGTAAAGAGAAAGAGTGGGGGAGAGAGGAAAGTGTGAGAGAGAAAGTGTACGTGTGTGTGTGGTATTGGAAGAGAAGAAAAATATAGTTTCTGCAACACTGGTCATATTTTCCATTTTATTCACAGACACAGCAGTCAGACCCTAGTCAGTTTGTGAGGGATCATGTTTTAAAAACAAACTGTTCCACTGTAGATTGCTTAGAATCCCACAAACACCTGCTCTGTATAAATACACTGCCCGTTCATTACATTTTTCATTTAGGTAAAATAATGATGTTTATTTATTTATTTTTTTAAATTTATATATATATATATATATATATATATATATATATATATATATAACATACTGTACATACATTTCTTTAGTCTCTACAAAAAGCAAATGAACAAAATAATGCATCGTATTGCAGTGTATCAAAAGAACAAATAAACCACTTTTAGATTGTTGCTATTGCATTTCTATTGATGCACACTGCTTAAAAAAATGAGATACAAGACAAATATGAATGCTAAACCTGCTCTGCACAACCTCCAAGAACATCTCTTCTGAGCTAAACAGGTGATCACATAATTTACGTCTTTATCGGTTGCTGTCTACTCTGAGATCCAGTCAGAACCCAGATTCCAGCGAGTCTCAAACGAGATGCAGGAGCTTGTTAGGAGAACAGATTAAATAAATAATGACTTCACATTCTGAATCCTGCCAGACTTCTTCACAGCTGAGAAATGGATTTTGCCGAGTTGGGTTTGGCCAGCAGGATCTGTGGCTAATTTCGGCTGACATACGTGGAGCATTAGAGGGAAGGAATTAGAGGAATAGTTGGCTTTAATGCAGAAACACAAAGGGCAGATGAAACTAGCACAGGTATGCTGTTCTGTTTTGATCCCTCATAGATCTGTTTAAGTTGCACTTAAGAGTTGGAATAGATAGAATGTATAAATTCTCTTGACATATATTTTTGTTTTATTCCCTTGCTGCCCATCTGTCTTAAATTTTACAACAATTGGATCCTGAATTGTACATAATGGCCTGTCTTTTTGCATTAAATGTACAATTATAATTCTAAAATGCATCAAAATGACTGAAGGACAACGTTGGAGGTTATAGTGCTAACTTCCGCTAACTCTTAGCGAGTCCTTTATAAATGTGAGGCATTGACTCAAAGGCACGGTACTGTCTGTACCAGTCCCAGAGAGCAGGACAAACTGAGATCAATTCCATTAAGAGGAGAGAGACTGAGAGTCTTTCAGGAGGACAATGAGTGATGAGCGATAGAGAAGAATCAGAGGGACATCACAATGCCACCAGGCACAGAGCAGAGTGCCCTCATTCTCCCCCAAACCCGCTAATATAGTCCCCACACAATCAGAACCACTGTCCACAGAAAGAGCTGCTAAAGAGGAATAATGTTGGAGAATCAAATCGAATCCCTGCACAGCGCAGTGAGAACAGGCCATGTTGTAATTGTGTCAAGGTTCCGTTTTTCTTCCAGATGCATACGAGCTTAACTGACCATGAAATGAAAATTCTTTAGGCAAAAAGCCTTCCGGCGGTCACTTATGCAGCACAGATATTTTAAAAGCTGCAATTATTTTACTCGCCAGCAGCACGGATGGCCAGGAAAAGAGCAATACAATTTGATGGTGCCTATGCATATTGGAATGTAAATAAAGATATATTATTCCACATATACATTGTAGGTTAAGGGAAAGTGAGGCAATATTCAGAATGAAAATAACATTTAAATAAAAACAGTTCATGAAAAATCTCAAAACCTGAAACATCAAAAGCCTGCCAATGCATCATCTGCTGGCTAATGTCACTTTGTGTCCTTTTATGTATTCAAATTTCTCTGATAGCGATTTCATTTCTATAATAGCGGTTTTAAAATATCTAGTCTAGCCATGGCATTTTCAATGCTTCCTTTTCGATGAATCCACGTCTGTGACATTTAGGAGCCATTTCTCTATCTGAATTAACAGCCATAAAAGCTTGATCATAAAGCATGATTATTATGAAGCAAATGCTTGCCTAGACCTTTATTTTATCTTACATATTAGTCATCACAGCAATACAAGCTAAAAAATAAATATATTCAGCTAAGCTGACCAATTTTATTGCATGCCTTCATTGTGTATCTGTTGTCTTTTCAAAATATTGTCATTTACTAATCCTCATGTTGTTCTAAGCACTTATGACTTTATTTCTTCCATGGAGCACAAAAATAGAAACTTTAATCAATATACTGGTCGCTCTTTTCCATGAAGTCACAATGAATGAGGATTGGAGCTTATAGTCTTTAAGAAGGTTGGAAAACAACCATTAAAATACCATTAGCACAGAAATATCATAAAAGTGGTTCATATGTCTTGTGCACTGTAATCCAAGTCTTATGAAGCCATCCAATAGCTTTGTGTGTTGTTAATTAATGATAATCTTTTTAATCTAGTAAACTGTTAACCATTACTACCAGATCACAGACTTAGTCAATTTAGTCAAATTAGTCAATTTTTTTGAATGAACCAGTTTTTGATTTTCAGTGAATAATGACTTAAATTCAGTCGGTTCCTTGTGCAAAGCCATTGGGCTAAGGGCTAGGGCAAAAATGCATGAGTCATAGGGAACTTATATGGTGTTTTTTTTTTTTTTTGGGGTTCTCCACTAGTTTTCATTCACTTTCATAAAAATGGAAAGTGTGGCCAGGATATTACCTTTTGAGCTCCATGGAAGGTGACAAGAAATGATAGCAGAATTTATATTTATGGATGGACTACCCCTTTAAGGCTTTATCTACAAATACAAATACAGTTTTATAACAATGGCACGTATCATCAGCCACCTTGATTTGTTATGCACATAACACCTTTGTCAAACATATTTGCATATAGAGGAGGAAACCTACCTGGATTTAAATCCTCACTTAAATCCAGGTGGATCTAAAAGCTAAATGTAACTGCCAGTGAATGATGTTGTGGAAATATTTGTGTAATTTTTGACTTTGCATAACGACTGCCTTCAACATCTGCAAACATTAAGATCTTTAAAGGGGGGGGGGGAGATATAACATAACAGAGTATTTATGTGCCAAATACATACTTCCGGGTTTCTTACAAGTTTCGGAAAGTTTTTTTCAATTGTGGCTCTTCATGACGTAATGAAGGGTGAAACTCCTTATATGGGCATTTCTCGCGGAAGAGCGTGCCCGCGCACACATAGCGAGCGAGAGCAAGAGCTTCAACATGCTTCATTCAGCAGCGCTGCACGGGACTCGCTCGGAAAGAATGTCTCCAAAGAAGTGTGTTTTTGGTTGTAAGGGAAAGATAACTTTGTTCAGCTTCCCAAAGAACCCAGCGTTACGAGATCAGTGGATGCAGTTTGTTTTTCGGGGCACCAACGGAGTTTCACAAGTGTGTTTGTTGACGAAGGTTTTATAAACAAGGCCCAGTTTGACGCTGGATTTGCACATCGTTTGATACTGAAAGATGGATCGGTCCCAGCTATAAAAGATCCCGGTCATGATTCATAACTGCAGACGGTAAGTGAAACTGCATCAAATGTCTGTGTTTTGTTGGCAGTCGGCGCTCAAGTGCTCGTGACTCTTTAGCTCCGCCCATGGCGCGCCTCCAAGAGCTTGGCTGTTTTCGGAGAGAATCGTAAAGCTGTATCTTTCTTTTATAAATATGATAAAACTAAAGACTTTTTGGGGATATGAAGGATGCAGTACAGTACTACTCTATAGGTACTCAAGATTAACATGAGATGATGTGTTATGTCCCCTTTAAAATATTCAAGCAAATAACCAGAGAATAACCAGACACTTACCCCTGGATGTCCATTGTTGATATGTCCTTCCTGCTCCATCATATTTCTGGAGATGGTGATTGAGGGCAGCTCCAGGCTCTGGGGTGGGAACTGAGGGGTGAACGACCCCCGCTGAGAGTTGGGGTGGACAGGTAGCCCGGGGAAAGGTGAGTCCACCTCCTGGAGGCCCATACCAGGCTCGGTCTCAGGAGGAGGGGTGATGGGGGGTATTTCAAACTCCTCATCACCAAGACTTGGCGTATGAAACGTCTAAGAAAAAGACAAAGGAGAAAATCAGGGATTAATTTTGCCCAAAATATGGTGAGGGCCTGCAAAGTTGAAAACCTGAAATCACTATGATGTTGTTACATAAATTAAACACAACCTTCTCATAAGTTGGAAACACATTTCATTTCAGAGCTGTGAAATACCTGTTGACCCGAGCAGAAGAGATAAGAAAACCTATTTAATACTTGTACAAGAAACGGATGTTTATTCTGACCCAAACCATTGCATTCTCCATGAAACAGGATGTGAAAAAAGATGTCTGAATCTGAAATGCAATATTGTGTGGCTATCATACTCGCAGGAGGACAAAATAAAAGCTGCTTAATCCAAGCTGGATGATGTTGGCTGGAGGAGAAAAGAAAGTGCAGGGAGTGATGTGTTTAGAGAACGTTCACACAGATTATTTCAGCTGTCCAGAAGTGTCGCACTTTGTTCTTCTCAGTTGCACCTCCAAAGCTGCTCATCAAACGGCCAAATCCCTCCGCCTGTGAATTACAGCCTATCGTCACACTTAATTTGCTTATGTTGACTACCTGCTCTGGGCTCCTCATCGAGGAATTCACTGACCTCCGCTCCTCTCCCTCTTTTTCTGTGTTTCTTCCTGTCTCCCTCAATTTCTTCCTTTATGTATTCAGAACCTCTCGTTTCGTGTTCAATCCTGTTCTTAATCTTCACTTTAATACTCTCAACGTGTTTCCTTCACTGCATCGAAAAACATATCAACATCTTGTCAACACATCATCCATCCTCTGAAGCTGTTTGTCTTTCTTCCTGCTATCACTCTATATCTTGTCTTTCATATTCCCACTTCCTCATTCTCAATCTTCTTTCTTTCCAGTTTTATTCTTACTCTTTTGTAAAAGCATAATGTGCACAGGGAATCTGCCAACACAGCTTTTATTAGAGCATATTAATGTTCTTCTTATTTTAGAGCAGGCACACATTCAAACACACATACAGACACACCATGGTGGGACTCTCCTACATCTAAACCAAAATCTCACAAAAACATTTCTGCATCTTAGATTTTAATTTAGACATTTTTAGTACTTTTACCAAGACATTTTCTTCATAGCCATTGAGTGGTCACAATGTGGGTGATTTTGGGGTTCCTTACTGCCCTAATGGGGACATTTTGGTTCTCACAATGTAGGCAAAACCTGACCACCATCCCCCCATCCACACCCACGCACACACACACACACACACACACACACACACACATATATCGAGACTCAAGGGGTAAGGCTAATAATCAGCTCTTTTTCGTCACCTCTCCCTCTTATTTCATTTTTTATGTAGCTCCATTCCAGCATTTAACTTGCAGCGTTTTTTTCCACAGCTGTGAGCAGCGGATCTTGTAAAGGCAGTGGTGTGTTTTGTCATAGTGAGGGCCAGGGGCTTGCAGTGCCTAACACATGTTCACATCACCTCCAACTAAAGCCATTAGTGGCCAGCCCAGCTCTGTTTCCCACTTCTCCATTAACACACAAGCTACAAACTCATTTTCCCTCCCTGTGGCATTGCAGCAGTTAACAGTGTGTTAATCAAAACAGCAGCGTTGAGGCATTAATAATAAAATTTGTGTCATGAGAGAAGAACGCCTCGGATATCATGCACATGGCAGTGATCACAAGACATCACTGACATTGAATTTAAAGGCCAACAGGGAGGTAAAAAAAAAAAACAAACAGAGCGAGGGAGAAGAACTAAATAAAAATAAATACAAGATTGATAAAATAGAGAGTGAAACAGGACGAATGAATGATAGCAAAGCAGAGAAAACAGGAAGAGAGAGGGAGAGAGTGGTGCTCTTTTCATTTTCTTTGCTTCATGACCTTTCTCTATGAATAAGACCTGCAGTGCCAGCATGTTTTCACAGTACAATACCGCAGAGAGAAAGAAAGTGTGAGAAGGAGAGAGAGGGGGAGAAAAAGAGAGTGGCCCGACCTAAATGTCCCAACAACACACAGCTGTGCTGTAAGATCTGATACGACATTCAAAGATCAAATGTGAGGTACATATAGTCCCTTTCTTCATCTTTTTCACATCAGAGCATAACTAAAATGACACTGACCTTTACAAATAACAAAACAAAACACTGAACACCTGACTGAACACAATGAGATGAGAGAGAGAAGGCAGAGATTAAATTAACATTGCTCTTGGAGACAGTGAGCTGGTGTGTGTAAATGAGAATTGAGATATGGTGGTAGCATGACTGAAGTATACAGAAGCTGTCAGCTGTCAGTGTAGCGCTGGTGTTGTGGGATGAGGTAGTAGGTCACTGGAGACTGTATTTGTGTGTGTGGTGAAAGCTCAGGTCAGTGTGTGTAAAGCGGCCTCAATCTTCAGTTCGGGAGGAGGAAAGCACTGTTTTTAAGTGTGTTCGCACTTTTAAGTTTTACGTAAGCGGTCACTCTAAATGAACTAACCTGACCACAAAAAGAAAAAACAAAAAAATGAACTGAGGCACTTTAAAAACTAAAGTTACTTTCAATTTCAAATGTAAATGCAAGTTCAACTAGGTTAATTTTCATTCAGTTTGCTTTTTGGTCTACTTCGGTGAATCAAACACAGGTGTCTTTATTCAATAAAACAAAGATCTTATAGATCTTTATGCATTACTAAAACATCATTATAATATTTAGGTTTTTTTTGCTTAAAAGAGAATATGAATCTAATCACACAGTACAGTTGATGTTTAGAGGCAAATTTTGGCAAAACCAATTGTGAAAAATTAATAATGTTTATTAAAAAACATCATGAGACTAATCACGATTGATTTGAATTTACAAACAGCCCCAGGTTATACATGTATCATCTGTACACAGAATACAATAGTGTAATATTTCTGTCATAATTTCCTCACTTTACCTGGCACTGCAAGGCGGTCCAACCCTCAAGCATTCATTAGTGCAGAATACTGAAGCAAGACCGTTGAGAGTCTGGGTGGAGTTTACAGTAGTGCTTATTATTCTTTAATCTCTGCAATTATTTCCATTTGTATGCTAATCTGTAAAGGCCAAAATATTTTTAAATAAATGAAAATTCTGTCATCATTTACTCAACCTCACGTCGCTTCAAACCTGTATGACTTACTTTCTTCTGTGGAACATAAAAGAACATTTAAGCAATGTTTCTTTGTTTTTTCTTGTCCGTACAATGAATGTCATTGGTAACCAAAACTGTTTTGATACCAACATACTTTAAAATAAATTATTTTGTGTTGCATGCAGGTTTGCATACAGGTTTTAAACAAAATGAGGGTAAGTAGGCTAAATGACAGACCAAATTTTCATTCTTGGATGAACTATACCTTTAATTCAACATAAACTAACAGATCTGTTCTAAACACCCAACTTGCATTCATTCATCATCCCCAATATGCTAAACTGAGATGACCAAGGTAAAGCAATAGCACCGATTATGAAGCAATAAGACCTTTCACATTGTAGATTTAGTAAACTGATTCAGCAGAGACATAAGCAGCAGTTGTTAAAAGGCACTGCATCACAATTACTGAGCATGATGGTTAGGAGGATCGATAGAGCAAAGCTCCTAACATCAGCTGAGCAGAGAGAAAAGCGCTCCTCAGATGACAGTGGCAAAGACTCTCAGAGTCCAATAGCAGCCATTCCAAATCCATTTCTACATATATAGTAGTGATTACATGTGTGTAATGAGATTGTGTGTGATAAGTGATATTACTAAGTGGAACTGAATATGGCCATATCAGTTTCGGTTCAACAGCAGGAAGGAAGAGGTCACCTTATCAAGCACTGTGCTATAGAGTTTCCATATCATGTTGCATTACAATGTTGACGATAATGTGGTTTACATATATTATCATATTTGAAATATGTGTGTGAATTATTTACAATTTGCAACTAAAAATGCAACAGAAAATGCCTGTTAATTGTAGGCTACCTTACCATACACAAATAGTTTAACATTGCATTATATGTCATTTTACTGTAAAATACTGTCATATTAATAGCTTTTGCAACTAAAAACTATGAATAACTTTAGAATTTACTGTGGAAAAACAGTAAAAGGAAATTCCCAGAAGTATTTTAGTGTTGTGTGTTACCCTGATGGTGTTTTATCTTTACCAACACAAGTATTAGTCTTAATTAATGAACAGGCCAATGATGAACTCTGGTTCATCTGTGGTTTTCTGTTTTACCAAATGTTTGATCATGGTGGTTATCAGTATACGTTATTTTAAGGTAAAAAGCAGACTGTGCTAGTTCAAGTAGATAAGGTAAATTAAAATTATATCACTTAATAAAAAACTGGTTATAAGTTGAAAAAAAATTCAGCTGTTAAATTTAAGTACACAATTAGATAATACCAATTTAGGTCAACCAATTGCCAAGCAATGCTTAATTTTGCTCAGTCTGTGGTGTAAAAAGGTCGCATTAGCAATTAAAGAAAAAAATAAACACTTAAGCAAAACATGGTCAGGTCAAAGTTTTTGAATAATTTTTGGTCCCACATTTTTTATCAATTTTACTGGTAGTCCACTGTATGAAGAAGTTTTGGTATGTCACAGTTCCCTTTACTTTGCTATCCTCACTTACATAAATTAACTATAGTGTCCTGCAGTGGTGTATAAAGTACCTGAAAGCCATACTCAAGTAATTGTCACCGTTTAGAATATTACTTGAGTAAAAGTCTTAAAGTATGTGATATTTATTGACCTTAAGTATGAAAAGTATTTTTTTAATCTTAAACGTACTTAAGTATTGAAAGTAAAAGTACAAGTAAATGCAAAATGGAAAAGAAGCAAATAAATATATATTAAAAAATGTTCATACACAGCTTGAGTAGCAAGATTGTGTTCAGTTT